TTTTTCGTGGACGTCCGTCAAGACCTTGTCTATGCATACGGTTGGCCATCACGGCTTGTCCGACCCATTTGAAAGGTCAAACGAGCCCTGAAGCAAGCATACCCCTAATTTCGACGATTTTCGTGTGCTATATCACACCACTTTTTGAGTGATCTGGATTCCGACGTTAAAAATGCAAAATTTTTTCGTGGACGTCCGTCAAGACCTTGTCTATGCATACGGTTGGCCATCACGGCTTGTACGACCCATTTGGAAGGTCAAACGAGCCCCGAAGCGAGCATACCCCTCATTTCGATGATTTTCGTGTGCTATAGCACACCATTTTTTGGGTGATCCCGATTCTGACGTCAAAAATGCTAAATTTTTTCATGGACGTCCGTCAAGACCTTGTCATGCATACGGTTGGCCATCACGGCTTGTCCGACCCATTTGGAAGGTCAAAGGAGCCCCGAAGCGAGCATACCCCTCATTTCGATGATTTTCATGTGCTATAGCACACCATTTTTTGGGTGATCCGGATTCCGACGTCAAAATTGCCAAATTTTTTCATGGACGTCCGTCTAGACCTTGTCGATGCATACGGTTGGCCATCACGGATTGTCCGACCCATTTGGAAGGTCAAACGAGTCCTGAAGTGAGCATACCCCTCATTTCGACGATTTTCGTGTGCTATAGCACACCATTTTTTAAGTGATCCAGATTCCGACGTCAAAAATGTCAATTTTTTCGTGGACGTTCGTCAAGACCTTGTCTATGCATACGGTTGTCCATCACGGCTTGTTCGGTCCATTTGGAAGGTCAAACGAGCCCCGAAGAGAGCATACCCCTCATTTCGACGATTTTCGTGTGCTATAGCACACCATTTTTTGGGTGATCTGGATTCCGACGTCAAAAATGCCAAATTTTTTCGTGGATGTCCGTCAAGACCTTGTCTATGCATACGGTTGGCTATCACGGCTTGTCCGACCCATTTGAAAGGTCAGACGAGCCCTGAAGCAAACATACCCCTAATTTCGACGATTTTCGTGTGCTATATATCACACCACTTTTTGGGTGATCCGGATTCCAACGTCAAAAATGTCAAATTTTTTCGTAGACGTCCGTCAAGACCTTGTCTATGCATACGGTTGGCCATCACGGCTTGTTCGGTCCATTTGGAAGGTCAAACGAGCCCCGAAGAGAGCATACCCCTCATTTCGATGATTTTCGTGTGCTATAGCACACCATTTTTTGGGTGATCCGGATTCCGACGTCAAAAATGCCAAATTTTTTCGTGGACGTCCGTCAAGACCTTGTCTATGAATACGGTCTCCATCACGGCTTGTCCGACCAATTTAGAAGTCAAACGAGCCCCGAGCAAGCATACCCCTAAGTTCGACGATTTTTGTGTGCTATAGCACAAGTTTTTGGGTGATCCGGATTTCGACGTCAAAAATGCCAAATTTTTTCGTGGAAGTCCGTCAAGACCTTGTCTATGCATACGGTTGGCCATCACGGATTGTCCGACCCATTTGGAAGGTCAAAGGAGCCCCGAAGCGATCATACCCCTCATTTCGACGATTTTCGTGTGCTATAGCACACCATTTTTTGGATGATCCGGATTCCGACGTCAAAAATGCCAAATTTTTTCATGGACGTCCGTCAAGACCTTGTCTATGCATACGGTTGGCCATCACGGCTTGTCCGACCCATTTGGAAGGTCAAACGAGCCCCGAAGCGAGCATACCCCTCATTTCGACGATTTTTGTGTGCTATAGCACACCATTTTTTGGGTGATCCGGATTTCGACGTCAAAAATGCCAAATTTTTTCGTGGACGTCCGTCAAGACCTTGTCTATGCATACGGTTGGCCATCACGGCTTGTCCGACCCATTTGGAAGGTCAAACGAGCCCTGAAGCAAGCATACCCCTAATTTCGACGATTTTCGTATGCTATATCACACCACTTTTTGGGTGATCCGGATTCCGACGTCAAAAATGCCAAATTTTTTCGTGGACGTCCGTCAAGACCTTGTCTATGTATACGGTTGGCCATCACAGCTTGTCCGACCCATTTGGAAGGTCAAACGAGCCCCGAAGCGAGCATACCCCTCATTTCGACGATTTTCATGTGCTATAGCACACCATTTTTTGGGTGATCCAGATTCCGACGTCAAAAATGCCAAATTTTTTCGTGGACGTCCGTCAAGACCTTGTCTATGCATACGGTTGGCCATCACGGCTTGTCCGACCTATTTGGAAGGTCAAACGAGCCCCGAAGCGAGCATACCCCTCATTTCGACGATTTTCGTGTGCTATAGCACACCATTTTTGGGTGATCCGGATTCCGACGTCAAAAATGCCAAATTTTTTTTGTGGACGTCCGTCAAGACCATGTCTATGAATACGGTTGGCCATCACGGCTTGTCCGACCCATTTGGAAGGTCAAATGAGCCCCGAAGCGAGCATACCCCTCATTTCGACAATTTTCGTGTGCCATAGCACACCATTTTTTGGGTGATCCGGATTCCGACGTCAAAAATGTCAAATTTTTTCGTGGACGTCCGTCAAGACCTTGTCTATGCATACGGTTGGCCATCGCGGCTTGTCCGACCCATTTGGAAGGTCAAACGAGCTCCGAAGCGAGCATACCCCTCATTTCGACGATTTTGTCAATGGATTTTTGGTGATCCAGAATTCCAACGTCTTTTTTTCTTAAATTCTTGTAGACATTCATGAAGACATTAGCTATGGAGCGAGTTGTCCTTGATGGTCAAAATGCCCACATTTTCAAGGTCAAACAAGTCATGAAGCAGGTAAACCCCATTTTGTCGATTTTCGTATACTATATTCCATTAATTTTTTGTGATCCAGAATTTCAACGTTTTGTTTGCCTTTGTGGACGTCCGTTAATACATTATCTCTGGATCTATTTGTCTATGACGGCCAAAGCTATTCATTTTGAAGGTCAAACGAGCCTGGGAGCAAGTAAACCCTTTGTTTTGCTAATTTTCGTGTGCTATATATAGTCCACGATCTTTTTTGGTGATCCAAATTTTCAACATATATTTTGCCAAATTTTCTCAGTGGTTCGTTAAGACGTTATCTATGCAGCCATTTGGTCCTAACGACCAAAACAACCTATTTTGAAGGTCAAATGAGCCCAGAGCAGGTAAACCCCCCATTTTGCCAATTTTCATGTGCTAACGTCCATGAATTTTGGTGAACTAGAATTTCGACGTCTTTTCTTGTCAAATTTATTATGAACGTCCATTAAGATGTTATCTATGGGGACAATTGACCTTGACAGTCAAAATGACCCATTTTCAAGGTCGAACGAGCCCCGAAAAAGGTAAATTCCATTTTGCCAATTTTCGTATACTATGGTCCATGAATTTTTGGTGATCTGGAATGCCAATGTGTTTGTTGCCCAAATGTTTTGTGGACGTTCGTAATACGTTATCTATGAAGTCGATTAACCCTGATGGCTAAAATAGCTCACTTTGAAGGTCAAACGAGCCCAGAGCAGGTAAACTCTTCATTTTGCTTATTTTTGTGAGTTATAGTCCACGATCTTTTTTAGTGATCCAGAATTTCGACGTCTTTTTAGCCAATTTTATTGTGGATGTCCGCTAAGACGTTAGTTATGGAGCTAGTTGGCCCTGACGGCCAAAACAACCCATTTTGAACGTCAAACGAGCCTCAGAGCAGTCCATGGATTTTTGGTCATCTTGAATTTCGACATCTCTTTTGCTCAAATTTTTTGCGAACATCCATTATGACGTTTGCTATGGAGCTAGTTGGTCGTGACAGCCAAACGATTCATTTTCTAGGTCTAACGAGTCCCAAAGCAGGTAAACCCCATTTTGCAGATTTTTGTGTACTATAATTCATTGATTTTTGGTGATCCGGAATACCGACTTATTTTTTGCCCAATTTTTTTTGTGGATGTCCATTAAGACGTTATCTATGGAGCTTGTTGGCTCTGACGGCCAAACTGACCCATTTTGAAGTCCAAACAAGCACTGGAACAGGTAAATCCCCTATTTTATTTATTTTCGTGTGCTATAAGTTCACGATATTTTTTGGTGATCCGAAATTCCAGCACTTACTTTTAGTGGCGGTTTTCCTTCTCACTAAAACATACTTTTGACTATTATTTGATTTAGTAGCTGTTTAATGTCATTAATACTTAATTTCAGCGGCAATTGTTTAATGATTTAGTGGTGATTTTAGTTGCCACGAATATTAATTTTTTGCGACATTTGTTATGTGAATTCTTGATGTCTTTTTGTTCTGTTAGTTTTGATGCACGTGCATTGTATGTGAAAATCAAATCATGTACCATATTAATTTAACATTCAAGTTAGAAAACTTACACGTTTAAGATCGTATATATAAAGTTCATGATATCGATTTTTCTTACATATATTATTTTTTTCTACTATTCTAATAAATTTCTAAATAAATAACACGAAACGCAGGCTGCAATTTTATTTAGTAACTCTCTTTTGTTTACTGATGCATGGTCAACTGCACCAATAAATTTTGTAAATATTTATTAATTCCTCAAATGGTATTTTTAATAATTAAATTTTATGAATAAAATATTTTTCTCGACTACACCAGAATTTTAATTTATAAAAATTTAACTCCACTAAAATATTATACTAATGCTTAACTTTTTTGCTAACTTACTTATCTAAATGTCGAGTAATTAAGTAAAGGAATTTTACTATTTTAATACTTCCAAATTAAGAAGAAATGAAAATATGGCAAACAAATAAAGCAAAACGCAATATATAATTCTCTTTGGTAATTCTTTCTTTATTAATTAATCTACATACATTCACTTCATTCTTATTTTTATTTAATTTAACGTTTTGCTAGGTTTGTATATTAATTATATTAATTAATTGTACTTTGAATTAATAGTAACTTACCAATATCCCATTAATACCTCATTCTTCAAGTTACCTATATATAACTTCTTTCCTATGCATATATTTTCATAATAATACCTCAAACATTAATACAATATAAGTAATTAGCATTTTCATGGCCACTCCAACATTCAGCCTACCTCGAAAGCAAAGTAAGATACATATTAATTATTTTAATTTTTTTTACAATATATGTTAAATATTCGATAATCTATCAAAAATAGTTTATATATTTTTACAAAGTAGGAGGTAGAAGACAATATATATATATATACACACATTACCATTTCTAAATTACATTTATCGAATTATACTGGTTATGTATGTGGTGTCACATGGGTATATCTCCAGAAGATCAAGTATCACAAGTTTTGTTCTTGTTAGAAATTTAAGTTTATTGTAGAAATTCGAAATTTTGTTGATTTTGTAAACTTCTAATGAAATTCTGCTACAAATTATTCATGCAGTAAGGGATTAAATTCTTTAAGGACGGAGATTATATTATATATTCTATCGATATCGGTTATTCTATTTTATTTCCCAAATTCATTATTTCCTAACATCTCATGAAAAATTATTATTAGTATAATTTCATCTTTCATATATGAAAAATTCAAAATACTATAACACTTTTGTATTTTTTTAATAAAATTTTTAGCTTCGTCACTGATTTAAAATTTTCTTTTTTTCAGCGGTAACAAAAGGTACTAAAATGTCATGGAAATTGATGCTTGTTGTACTTATTTTGGGAGTTGTAGTGCAAACTTCCTCGGCAAGAAAACTTCTTAGGAGGGATTTAATCAACCTCAATGGTTTTGACCAAATTTTAGGAGGACTTGGTGGCGGCGGTGGTGGCGGCGGCGGCGGCGGTGGTGGTAGTGATGGTGGATTTGGTGAGGGCTTCGGATTTGGTGAGGGTCATGGATCGGGTGCTAATGATGGATTTGGCCAAATTGTAGGTCTTATTGGCGGCGGCGGTGGTGGTGGCGGCGGCGGTGGCGGTGGTGGAGGTAGTGATGGCGGATATGGTTATGGTATTGGATATGGCGAGGGTCATGGATCCGGTGCAAACGGTGGCGGCGGTGGTGGAGGGGGTGGCGGCGGCGGTCAAAATGGTGGTAATGGTTTTGGTTTCGGATATGGATCGGGTCATGGTGGTGGCAATTGATCCCACAATTTGCTTGAACATTATTTTTGTTGTTTTATTAAATATAATAATTTAATCAATAAATAAAAGGCAAGTAATGTGCTAGTGATTCTTGAATAAAATGTTGCTACCACAAATGTTATTTATTTATTATTAAAGAATCGATATTATGTAATTCTAATCTTGTTTTGTTAAATTCAATGGATATTTTGTAATTTTTAAAAATATGAGTTAAATCTAAGTATGTATCATTTTTTTAATTTCTTTTTGAAAATATAATAAATATATTATTATTATTATTTTTTATGATAAGATAAATACGTAGTCGCTATTCTCTGAGTACGCACAGGATAAAACCCCCAATCTTGTATAATAGCTCACAAATTACATAGGAGAGTCGTAAGTTTAACCTATGTTGATCAATAAATTCACCATTCAAACAATAGAACTATGAGTTCAAATTATATATATATATATATATATATATATATATATATATATATATATATATATATATTACATCTTTTTATTGTGAAGAACCAATTTAATTTTTAAAAACTCACTAGAAGAAACAAAAAAAAAAAGAAAAAAAAAGAGAGGTCTCTATTAGCCAGAAAATAAATTTTATTTTCTTGGTGGAAATATATCTTCACATATTAACAAATCTTTTATTATATTTGTGATTTTCATCTTAAAAAATATCTACACATTTGTTTGACTTCTTCCAAATGTGTGTAATTGTAACTATCTTAAACTTTTAACTAGATTAGATCAAACTTGTTAGCAAAGAAAATTAAAGAAATATAAATTATCCATACATAAATTTTATAATTAAATAATAAAATTTATCATTAATTCTATTTAGTGACAAATTGACTATATATTATTAAAAAAAAATTAGATACTAGTTATTTAGCAATGAAGTTTATAGTTAATTTTGTTAAACTCTGTATTTATCAAACACGTAACATAGTCCTTAGTTTATGATCATTGTGTCCGAGCTAGATTTCGAACATTTTAACTAATTTCACATGATATTTATCAGAATGTCACCTCTTATTGTAACAGGTAATTTTGCCAACGTGAACATGGTCCTTTCATATTATAATTTTTACGATCATAGAATTTGAACCATATTTCAAACATTTCAATCAACTTCCATCAGTAATAAATATCAGATAATTCTATCCACCGGAATTTGCGAAAATGGTTCATTCTAAAAGAAACAATCTCAGCCAAGAGATATATGACAGCCACATGTCAAAACAAAGGCCTCACTCTTTCACTACTAAAAAATCACATAAAGGAAATCCAAATCCAAAATACATTATCCAATAAGCTTCTGCTTAGGTGTACATTTTTTGATCCTCAAAATCCATTTATTTTCATATAAAAACCTTCATTTCCAAGCTATTTAATATATAGTTCATTTCTTCATATTGCAAAAAAAATAAAAAAATGGCTACTTCTGCAATTCAACATTCTGCATTTGCTGGCCAAACAGCACTTAAGTCACAAAATGAATTTATTAGGAAAATTGGTAGCTTTGAAGGTGGACGTGTCACCATGCGACGTACTGTCAAAAGTGCACCACAAAGCATATGGTAATTTTTTTAATTTATCATTTACTATATTTTCAATCATATTATTGTTAATTTTTAATGAATTATTCATTGTTCATTTAGTCATATTATTATTTCCATATTTTTAAATAAAAATGGAAAAACAATGCAAAACCTTGAAATAATCATGTCAACTACTATTTTGTGACATAGAAATATAATGTCTTTAGTGTTGATTATAGGCATAATAAATACGTGTATCCTTTAATTTGGTCTCATTTCATGTTTATGTCCTTTAACTTTGGGTCTGCAGTAATAGTAGATACTTAAACTTGTATAAACTTGAACAAGTAGATACATGAGTCCTACGCGTTGGACAAAAAATGCCATGCAGCACATGTGTGTCTATTTGTTCAAGTTTATACAAGTTTAAGTATCTACTATTGCTCACGCAAAGTTAAACGACATAAATGTGATTTGAAGTCAAGTTAAAGACAGTCTGGTGCACTAAATTGTCAGTACTATAGTAATAAAGGGTTAGACGACCATATTAAGTCTATTAGTGCACAACTACTATTCTTGACCTCCTGCTCACATGACGATCGAATAGGTATGGAGAAGATAGGCCAAAGTACTTGGGACCATTTTCTGAGCAAACACCATCATACTTGACTGGTGAGTTTCCAGGTGACTATGGATGGGACACTGCTGGACTCTCAGCTGACCCTGAGACATTTGCAAGGAACCGTGAGCTTGAGGTGATACATTGTCGTTGGGCTATGCTTGGTGCTTTGGGGTGTGTTTTCCCTGAAATATTGTCTAAGAATGGTGTTACATTTGGTGAAGCTGTTTGGTTCAAGGCTGGATCTCAAATTTTCTCCGAAGGCGGTCTTGACTACCTTGGTAACCCAAACCTTATCCATGCTCAGAGCATACTTGCCATTTGGGCATCACAAGTTGTGTTAATGGGCTTTGTTGAAGGATATAGAGTTGGTGGAGGTCCATTAGGTGAAGGCCTCGACAAGATCTACCCGGGGGGTGCTTTCGACCCACTGGGCCTTGCTGATGATCCGGAGGCATTTGCTGAGTTGAAGGTCAAGGAAATCAAGAATGGACGATTAGCTATGTTCTCGATGTTTGGTTTCTTTGTTCAAGCTATTGTTACTGGAAAAGGTCCAATTGAGAACCTTTCCGACCACATTGCTGATCCAGTTGCCAACAATGCTTGGGCTTACGCCACAAACTTTGTACCCGGAAAATGAACTTAGTACACTCTTTTATCTGTAAAAATTGTGAAGCTACTGCATGTCTTTTATGTAATCATATATATGCAAAAGCCAAGACTACATAATCTTCAAATTTAATCACTCTGCTCATTTCAATTCGTTTGTTTTACTTAAACTTTTCTTTTTAGTTCGTTTCCAAAAGAATTTACATAATCGTGTCACTTATAAGGTAACTATATACGTAAATAAGCATTACTTGGGAACCTGGAAGAAATGGTAACGAATTTGCTGTAACAGGTTAACTACACTGATATGATCGTGTATAAAAAAGTATCGCGTGTGTACTATAGATGGAGAGAAGTATCAATATCAGAATTTTCATATTTACATTTAGCTGTCAACGCACGCCACAAAGGTTGAGTCTTTCTGACTTGGTAGCTTCTGTGTTTGTTATTCAAACTGAGTTCAAGAAAGAACTTATCTTGATCAGAATCGATCATTTCTGATCGAAGAATCAGTTCGTGTGTGAATTCTGGCTTGACAGATGCATGATTCTTGATTTGTGTCATCAGTTGAGGCTGTGAGAACAATTTACTTGTTCTGTTTTTTCTCTGCTTTTTTGCTTTTTCCAATTGTCTGAATCTTTGTTGCAGCAGAACAATTGAAGGACCTGAAATAGTAGGATCGTTGTTCGGCCTTCCCATGAAGGAGTAGGAGCTAGTTTTAGGGGCGGAATTGAACCAAGCAAATTAGTTCATGCCACGACGAAGAAAGGAGGACTTTTTTTCTCTCTTGTTATGACTTTATGAGGGGTTGAAATGTGTAGATATAGGAAGAAAATGGCTAGTATTTGACATTTTGTTTATTGAATTTTCACACATGATGTAGAAAGGGAGCCGAACGGGCGACTAAGGAACAAAGTCCAAAGAAGAAAATGTTAGAATTTATATGGTGACTTTTTTTTTTGCAGAGGAAAATGGTAAAGGGAAGTGTCCAAATGGTGGAGTGTAGCATTTGGAAGGTTGTGTTTGTATGAATCAAGGGTTTGGTATGTTATGTCGGCCAATCATGTTCGTTGGTTTTTCTTATACTGACGATGTAAATAATTCAGTCTTAAATAAGTTGCAGTCAGCTATATGAAATCTTCACTAGTCGTGTTTCTCCATCAACGATCTTACCTAATCGAGTGAACATTTGGGTGAATAGTGATCAAAAAACTTGCTAATGTTGATGTCCATTCAAAAAGAGAACAAACCTCAGAAACGGAGCCCAAGTTTTCACTCAAGGGATTCAAAGTACGCAGAAGTAAACACACTAAGAAGCCAAGGGGATTCGATTCAACATATAGCACAGATATACATAATCAGTCTTTTGACAAAAGCAAAAACATGCTTCAGGTAACAACTCGAAAACTAGACATTGTCAAACAGATGGTGATACAGTTCACACTTTTGAGGACTTTATTTATGGCATCTCAATCATGAGTTTTGAGGAACCAACTTCTACTGAAACCACTCCTTTTACAGGCTATGATTTTCCGATATGAGTACTCTAAATGTTCAACGTTGATATCAAACACGGAATGACATAATCAGAAGATCTTTAAACATATGTAACTGAGATAAGCAACTTCTATTGTATATTACACACAGAACAATTTTCAGAATACAAAGCAACAAAGTTGAAATTTCATTAAACATATATGACTAAGCTTTAATAAAGTTTTGTGATAAGTTTGATGATCTGGATACAGAGTCGCCTTTGTTAGGAATCATTTTACCCCACTATCCAACGCGAATCTAGTTTTAGTTGGACCCCAATGCGTGTACCATACACCAAGAGGGAACCCCAAAACTAGTTTGATGATCCAATTCTACACATATTCCAATGGATCTTTTAACAAATATACAGGATTTGAACCAAAGTTACTGAGTTCTGCCAAACCCCTACTTCCCATCCTAGCTAGCTCCGCCCCTGAGGTGGAATATCAATCCAATTAAGACAACCAACATGAACAAATGTTTGAAACAAATTAGGCATCCCTTGAAACCTTAAAGTCCTAAAGACACAAGTCTTAGGATCATATGAAACAAGATTTCCACCTTTGTACTCTAACAAGATCTCTCCATTCTTCAACAAACATAAAACTTTCACCAATGGTTGCACATGTTGTGTTACACAATTTGGATTTGGTGTATAAGCTCCAATTCTAAACTCTTTCATCCAAGATTCTTTCACATTATATTCTCTCATTACCCAAATTTCAAATCCTCCCCCTTTATAATGAGGCAAAGTTAGAGCAACAGCAAGACAATCTCCAAGTACTGCTAAATGATACTGAACAATTCTTGGCTTGACATCAAAATCAACTTTTGGTACTTCACCAAACACGTCGTTACCCAAATCAAACGAAACAATAAGCCTATCACGACGTCCATGATACTTACCAAATCGAGTCAACCAATGCATTTTCCCGTTCAACAGAATTCCTTGAGAACTCTGATCGAAACGATAAACAACTTCTCCAACACTCCTCCATTTGTTGTTAGTACCAAGACTAAGTACTTGAACATCTGATTTACCAAAGAAAGGGACTCGAAACCTACGATGATAACGCCCTCCAGGTTCATTATAATACATGTTGGCATAGTTTATGATCTTGATCACTTTATACTCTTTAGTAACAGGATGAAATCCAAAACCAAAAACCAATTTTTGTACCTCGAATTCGATTGATCTAGGGAGTTGTTTGTAATCCCTTGTAAAAGGATTGTATACATAAAGTGCATCACTAAACAAAGAATCACATATGCATAATAGTCCTTGACATGAACCAACCACTTTAAATTCAGGCACATAGTTAGCAAAGGGTGTCCTGATTTTCCTCACAACATCGCGATGATCAGAGAATTCAAGAAAATAGAGTTGATTCCTCAAAGGGTAATCCGCGTGTATAATGATGCAAGGACCGGTCTCTACTACGCGATTCTTGTGCATATTCACAAGGTTTATGTCATGTAACATGTTGTAAAATGATTTGCAAGATAATATGAATTGGACTAAAGATGTTATAGGAAGCCTTGAGGCTATGTCAATGATAATTTCTTGAGGTAGGGAATCAAATCCATGTATAAGATGAGTTTGATCATATTGAAATTTGTGTTTCTTGATTTGTATATCCATAAAACAGAGAAAATTAGGCAAAGAAAGATAATTAGGGAATTAAAATGTTTTTGACCAAAAAAAAGACTATACTAGGTGTTGAATTTTATGAACTTTTCTTGTTTTTGAAACAAAGTTGTATAGCATATCCTTTTGGATAGCTAAAGCATATTCTTGCTCATGACACTGACTTTTTTTTTTAATAATCGGGTGCGGACCTAACTCATTACACACTATATCTGATACCTCACACTAACAACACGTAACAAGTAACTTTATCCAACAAAGCTAGAACAAATCAAAAGAAATTATTATCTACTGTTTTCATCTCTACTGATACTTAAATTAGCCAAAGGAATATAATTCAGGAGGATTTGAATATATTTCCTTTTAAGGTAGTCTTTAAAAAAAAAGAGAGAATATTTTAAAGCAAACTTGGATATAATCAAGAATTTGGCATATAGCATGGAAATTGGAATCTTATACTTGTTCTAACATGACAGTCTTACTATGATAATCAATACAGAACATGTAAATAGTTACAAACAGTTCAAAACGTATAGAGTCTGTTATGAGAATCCGACAATACTATAGTATTTAAGAGTTTGTTGGATTCGAACTTATAAGATATTTGGATTAAAGAGCGAATAAAACTCAAATATGTCATCGAACTTGCAAGCCGTGACCAGAAGTACAGATTTGTGTCATAAGATGATGCACATCACTAATTTAAAGCATATCTATAACATAATTGTGAAAAGAGAAATTCAAGAGTCCTACTTTGTGCACAAATAACAAAGTAAACACTGAATACATTACAAGTTCCTAAAAGATGGCTCTTGAAACACTAAAAGACATAGTAATTAAGAGCATACTCATTTGTTACTGACTATAAATATGGATTTGATTGCCTTCCTCAAGAAATTGTCATTGACATTGCATCCAGGCTTGCCATAACATCTTTACTTCAATTCACAAATCATTTTTTACAACTTGTCTCATCATCCATAGCTATTGAATTTGCACATGTTGTAGAGCATAGCAGAAGAAAAGTATAATGTGTTGCAGAAATTCCTTATGAGATTTTGTCGGAGTAATCAAGGAATTATGTTGAACGGGGAGATGCATTGGCTGATGAGGTATTTGGTAGAGTTGATTCTGGTTTTTCACTTAAGAACTATTCATATGCTGATCATATTTGGTGTTCATTTTAGTACTGTGTTTTCTACATTATGTGATCCATCTTAATGTATGTTTGATATCAAACTCGAGCATTTCAGACGCGTTTACTTGAAAATTACAGCATGTTCATATGAACATATTGAACATGACAAGAATTACAAATGTGTCAAAGTCTGTTCTGAGAAGCTGAAGAATTGGAGTTTGACGTAAAAAAACTCAAATATGTTATCCAACTTATAGCTTTTAACTGTTCAAAGTTGGACACATTTGTGCCAGCTGACTCTTTTGTTACTGACTATAAGTATAAGGGGAGTTCCTAAAATATCTTTATAGCATTATTTATCGATTGTTTCCACATAAATTAGTTCATATTTGATTATGTTTAACGTAAAAAAAAATCATGTATACAAAGATCCCCTAAATATACAAATAATTTATATATTCATGGATCCTTTTTTCCTGAATATATATGTATTTCTATGAGTTTTAGTGCAAAATCATTTGTCTACAAGTATAAGCATAATCATATTTTTTAATCATGATGTGTCATATGATTTATTTATCGAAAAAAAAATACTTGATGTACCTTTTATTTTTGCGATTCAAAGTAGATATTTTGTTTGATCAAATTAAAAAGAAAATATTGCAATATCTAGAAGGTCAATAAATTAGCTAGTTTGCATTTGTTGCCCTTGGTGAGACACGTATATTTGCTATTAAATAGAAACAAAACATTGATATGGGGCTATGATGTGATCTTGTGCCATAAGGTCATGTCCCAAAATACTACAACAAAGTTATGTAACCATTTTTTCATTTCATATCGAGATTTTGAATTCGAGCTTTTGACAATAGAAAAAAATAATTTATAGCCCTAATTTTGTATCTTTAATTAGGTAAAGCACTAAACCAAGATATAATTTTGCTTAGGGTCTTAGTATATGTTTGATCCTAACTCTTGCCTAATTTTCCCAAACTCCATGGTTCCTCTAATTAGAAGGTTTTATTAGTGAAGTAAATGGAAAAACAAACGTGTATAACTCTAAAATGGATTTAACAATTAATATACTCCTACATGTAGAAATGTATAGAAAGTATAAATGTGTTTATTTGGTACTAGTTGTTTTTTATTTAGGTAACTTCATTAAAATCTAACTTATTCAGATTTAATTTATTTGTCTTTTTTTCTTTTTAAATCTATTTTTAAAAAATCGACAGACTCTTTCATTTTTAAAAGACATTTTTACAAGAGTAATAGAGGAGAATTTTTTTTCCTTCATCTTTTCCTAAGACAAGTACCCAAAGTTAGACCATGTGTCTAGCGGGTCGAGTCAGACCGATTCACAAGCCAGCCTAAATACCAGGTCGGGCTGAAACCTCAATGATTTCTAACCAAACAAACATCTATATATCGTGATTTTCCAGGTAAAATATTGAGTTCGGCCCAGCCTACTTCCCACCTACAACTCAACCCTGCCCTACCTATTGCGCAGGACAGATCTTTGACCAGATTATAATGGATCAGTTTCGAATTGATTCACTCATTTGACACTCGTAAACTCAAGATGATTATAGTGTTTTAATAAATTTTATAGTTATAAATTAAAGTTGGAATATAGCCTTATGGGCCTACAATTTAGGTGGTAAGATTAATCCTTAGTAATGAAAATTCCGAAAGAATAATCATGATTCATGATTATTAACATTTTTAATCATGGCAACTCAAATTACAAACCTTTCGTGCACTTTTTTTCTATATATCTAATATAAATAAATAATCAATATGCACATGCAAAGAACTAGTTTATTAGTGAATATTTTAATAATTTGCGCAATATAAAAGCATATTTATACATATTAGTGGAAAAAGAAAAAGAAATAATCATCTCTTGTCCATAAGCTAAGGTGGAGATATATGTAGTGTTCCAAAAGTAATTATTGTAATCAAAACATGGAAATTATTTTCTTTCTTTAATTTCCCATTTTTTATTTAGAGTCAATATTCGAGATTCGATTAAATTTAAATTACGTATTATTAAGTCCATTTGAAGTGACGATCTTTACAAGATTTTCTCCATATTTAAAATTTGAATCTAAAACTTATGTAAATGATGAAGCAACTCCGTTACTACACCGCAATTAATATTCATGTGGTATGGAAATTACCTTAATTAAGTATTCCACTTGGTTTAATTTGGTGTTACGAAGAACTGTTTGCTACTATTTTTCAACTTTTTGAAGCATATGCAAGTTGTATGATTGTAAATTAAAAGCACTTAAAAAGAGTAGGTATCCTAGGAATCTTTGGAGATATTATTAATACATTATTGTTCTTTCTTAATGGTAATTAAAATATTTTAATTATTGCAATTTTGGTGTGCATTTGATTTGTTTCATATGGTATTTCTTTTTCTCTAGAAATTGTGGAGATTTTTTTTTTAAAAAAAATATATCTATCTTCACGAAGTAAATGTAAAATTTGTGTATATTTTATTTTCTTCGAATTCATTTGTGTATATTTTATTTTCTTCAAATTCTGCATATGAAATTACCCTCACCAACTATGAGCGAGAAGAGAAAAAGAACAAGGAGAAACCTCTTGTGGAATTTGAATTGGACCGTTTTCAAGTTATATTGAAAAAAATAAAACAATCAAAACAGGATGTCAGCTGACGACAACTATAACAATTACGTCTTAATCTCAAATTAGTCAGAATCAGCTATGCGAAAATTTTATGATTCACGTCACTTTATTATTATCCAAATAAATAACTCAATTTATTTCAATTTATATTTTCATTAAATTTAAGAAAGAAAAAAAATCTTTTTTAGAGAATTAATGATAGTTATACTTTATATGGATATAGAAATATCTTATTAAATTTTAATTGAAGTATTTTTACATATAAAATATGTATTTGTGTTGGAAAAAAATTAATAAAATTAAAATCACATAAAAAAAATAGTGACAAATGCTTAATTGGTTGAAGAAAAATCTTGAACATGGAGATATTTTAAGTGGTAGGGCATTGTAGAAACCAACTTTAGAGGAGACATATTGACTAGAAAATTAAAGTGAAAAGATTTGAAAGAGTCTTTATAAGTCTCTTCATATATGAGAGAGAATTAATATTGACTTCCAAATATAATTATTTTAGGTCAAGGTGTCAAAAGTATTTTTCTTTTGTTACACTTTAGAGTTTCATCTTCTTTTCTTGTTATATATATTTTTACATGAAATTTAGAGGAAAAAATTAAATATCTTTGTTGAAACATTCACAAGGGAAAATTAGGAAAATTCCCAATTGAGAAATTGGTGTCTTATCCATAGGATTTTTTTTTTGTTGTTGTCCCCATATATATAATGCATTTTGGGGCAATATTTATTTTTAATTTATAAGTAGTGGTCGATCAACTAATGGGTCACACCTCTCACAATGTATAACATGGGACGGCTCATATATATTCGATGTTTGATATCTGTTTTAAAATTTGATTAGTTTGTATTTGTATCAACAAGTCTCATTTTGGAGGTAAAGTATTTATATCTTAAGGTACTTTATATTAAAAATTTGAACCTAAAAATCACTAATTAAGAATATAGAAATATTAATCATTATGTCACTGATTATAATATTCTAGTTTGATATTTACGTTAAATATCACTTTCCCATCCTCAAGGAATATAACCTAATAAATACAATTTGTCATAAATAGAATTAGTATCGAATTTTGTTGGTTGACTACAAAAGTTATTCATAACTAATTTTTGTTTTAGTTTAATTAAGTTCGATGAATTTATATATATATATATATATATATATATATATATATATATATGAATTAAGGATATATTTTTTTGTTTTTTAAATTAAAAATATATATATGAATTAAGGATATAATTTTTTGTTTTTTAAATTAAAAATATATATATGAAGGATATATAAATTTTTTGTTTTTTAAAATTAAAAAGTAAAAGAAAAAAAGGATCTTCTAATAGAGACATTCGGATTCACACCATGTACGATTCACTTAAAGGAAAATTATTTTCTGTCAAATCATACTATATTAACCTTTAATTAAAAAAAAATGTGTGTTTGTATATCTTCTTGTTAAAAATATGTTATACTTGACTATTTATAAAATTTTAATTAATTATCATTGAGTGTGGAATAATTGTACAACTAAAGAAATAAAAAATTCACAATTCAATTAATTAAGATTTGATGTACTTTGATCAAAATTAGGGGCTAAATTAAAAAAATTAAATTACAAAGGGATCAAAATGTAATAAACTTTATCTTATAGATGAACTATTCTTTTTAGAGAGTATGGTATCCTAAAATATAAGAATAATAGTACAATTTTAATACAACACATGAGTAGTAAAATAATGAAATAATTTAGCATTTCTCAAAATTTATGAGAATTCACAAGCTAATAGATCAAAAATATACCTTCTACATAATCAATAATTAAACATACTTAATTAAATATTAACGATAACAACAACATATTTAATAAAATCTCATAAATTCCATTTTAAGGAGGGTAACATATTCAAACCTTAACAACACCTCGAGAAAACGAAGAGACTATTGACATTCGCCTCAAGTGCAACAAACCCAAGTATAAAGAAAAAAGAAACACAATAACTAACAGAAGAAATAATATAAAACCTACAACACAACAGACAATAGACGATATTACATATCGAAATCAAAAGGGAAAAAGTATAAGTACACCCCTAACCTATGTCCGAAATTTCAGAGTTACACTTATATTATATTAAGGTCCTATTACTCTCATGAACTTAATTTATAAATAATTTTCTAAACCCTTTTCGGCCTACGTAACACTAGCTTGAAAAAAAATGTCATGCGTTTGGCCCACAAGATAGTGCTACATAGGTCGTAAAGGGGTAGAAAATTATTTATAAAATAAGTTCGTGGGGTAATAGGACCTTAGTATAAGTATACGTGTGTCTCAATATTTTAGATACTCGTTCATTTTTTCAAATAAAAAACGACAATACTATATGACTGATAAAACGACATACTCCAGCAAACCTACTAACCTTCTACCCTCATACGCACACATTCTCCACACTATCTTATCTAAAGTTATATCCTCAATGATGTAAATTTTTATCTAATATCTATAATTAATCAACCAAAAAAAAAAATTTACTAATCTCAAATAAAAAAAATGTTTTAGTCAAATAACATAACTTCCCCACATAATCTATAGAAATTCTTTTTTCACACCCACCACGTGACTACTTTTTTGAACCGTCAAGATCTATCTCCCCACCTTTAATTGCGGTCCAGATTCACCCACGTTATCTAACCCTTATCACCAAATGGACGGTTTTAAATCCGCCACGTGTCGTACCTGATTGAATATTATACCCCACGATCCAACGGACCCTGCATTTTCGCTTGCTCTTTTCTCTCTCATCTCTCTCTCTCCCCGGCCGGAAAATATTTCCCGGCGAACGTTTCTCCCTAATTTTGGTCTGTCGGTTTTTGTTCCATCTGTTTGTATACAATTTGTATTTTTCTCGCCGGAGAATCTACTTCCCCCTTTTAAATTCTCGCCGGAAAATCCAAACCCAGTTAACATTTCCGGTACGGTGATAAAGGTTTTTTTTTTCGTTTTTGTTGTTTTAGCAGTTTTTTCTGGAGTACCGTTTTTTTGAATTTGGAGAATTTGGGGATTGGCGATGGCTGATTCAGACAACGAATCAGGAGGTCACAATAACGCGAACAGTGAAGGATCAACAAGGGAACAAGACAGGTTCCTTCCGATAGCAAACGTGAGCAGAATTATGAAGAAAGCTTTACCGGCGAACGCGAAAATTTCGAAGGATGCTAAGGAAACAGTTCAAGAGTGTGTATCGGAATTTATCAGTTTCATTACCGGAGAAGCATCGGACAAGTGTCAGAGAGAGAAGAGGAAGACGATTAACGGTGATGATTTGCTTTGGGCTATGACAACTTTAGGATTCGAAGAGTATGTTGAGCCATTGAAGATTTACTTGGCCAAGTACAGAGAAATGGAAGGGGAAAAAACTACTATGGGTCGTACAGGGGAGAAAGATGGGGGTGGTGGAGATACGGCGGGAGGTGGTGGTGGTGGTGTTAGTTCTGGGGGTGGGTATAACGGTGGTGGCGGCGGCATGTATGGTGGTATGGGTGGTTCCATGATGTATCATCCTCAAGGTGGTCATCAAATGTATGGTAGTCATGGGTCATATAATCATATGGGTATGGGTGGCGGCGGCGGTGGCGGTGGTTCCGGTGCCGGAGGTTCCGGTCAAGGGCGGAGATAGATTCTATAAACTTCAAATTTTGAATCGATAACGAGCCAAAGTAGGTGGTAGTGGAAGTTTCAGAATATAATAAACATCAAAATTCTGAATAGATAATGGACCAAAAAGTATACGGTAATTGAGGAGGTGGAGGTTTCAGAATATTATAAACTTTAAATTCTGACTTAACAATGAGCCAAAGTAACGATGATTGTGATGGTGGATTTATATTATGAACTTTAAATCCTGGCTTAAGCAACTATGATTGTAACGATGAAACAATGATTATGATGGTGAAATTATATTATAAGCTTTAAATTCTGACTTTGCGATTCGATTACAAAGCCAAAGCCAAGGCAAGGTGTTAGAAGAAGGTGGTGATAAATATTAATCATATGATGTATCATTGTGTTGATAGCTAGTTCTATTACTTTACTTAGGTCCTTTTTTTTATATAAAAAAAATATGTATAATTTATATTTTTGAAGCACATTGACATGTGAGTTTTTAGATAATGCTTTAGCTTTTTGTTTTTTTTTTCTTTTGAAGTTGGGAGTATTGGTAGTAGTGGGTTACATGTGTAGTACTTTTGTGGAGAAAAGGATATTGTTGATGGAGAAAAAAGAAGTAATAGTACTATATACATGATGATATATTATAACCTTCAATGGAAGGCACTTGAAATATGTGTATTTTAATGGAACAATGAATGAGATGCCATTTTATGTGTTCTTTTTCTTCTTATTTTAACTAGTATACTAGACTATATGCTTTTGAAAATTGTCACCACAACACCTCAAATCTCACCTCTAAGTTAGTGGCAAATTCAAATGGCATAAAATATGTGTTTTAATTCGACTTTCATTAATATTTATGGTAGGATGTCACGTAGGATGCGCATATTACATGTGAATTGATATTAGAGGTTAAGTGCCTACACATATTTATTTGTTCAACTCTATATAAGTTTAAATGTCTATTTGTGTATATTTAAAATTGTATGATATAGTTATTATATGAAATCAAATTAAAGAGCATGTTGTAGATCTCTATCTTTCCAAATCTCACTTTCAGGATTTACTGAATATATTCTTTATTATGCCATCGATAGAAGGTAGTACTTGGTTGAATTGTGCGTGTAAAAAAACACTGATATAACTAGAGTTTATCCACAACACTTTGTTTACATCTTAATTTATGAAAACTACTTATAACAAATTTGAAATTTTGAATTCATTTTACTATTGGATTTCATCGAAGAAAAAATCAACCATTATTGTAACACCTTAAAATCTATCAACACTTTCGAATTTGTCGTCCTCTTTTTCATCTTAAAATATTTATTATATTTTATTTTTGAAGTGTTTTTCTTTACCATAGTAATATAAGAAGTTTTTAACTTGTATTATTTTTCATATCGTAATATCAATATTTTATAATTTTTAAATATCTTAAAATCATAAAATGTACGTGTATATTAAAATATTAAATTAATTTCCAACTTCAAACTTTTTGCAGCAGTTAGTTTTTTCAGTTAAAGAATTGCAGAGATATATATATATTATAATATAATATGAAATTGACTGCTCCTAGATATTTGCGGCAAATGTTGAAAATAGGACATTTTCTGTCTAAATCAACAAAAATAAAAAGGGTAAAAAATTTATAACGTGCTAAATTCAGACTATGATATTTTAATATTTTTATTGAATGTTCGATATCTAATTTAGATATTAAATTAAATAAAAAAAATTTCTTTATACTAAAAATAGGTTATTAATTTTTTACCTTGTTTATCTTAGAATATCAAAAGAGGCTAATCATTTTCATCCAATATTTACTGTTATCATTAAATAACTAAATAAAATACAAGTAATCAATAAGTACTTAAATTTATAATACATAATTAATAAGATTAATTTAATAAATTAATACTTTCTTAATTATTATGAACTTCAAGCTCTTGCTAAACTGGATTGGGCTTTATTAAGATAAGGCCCACACCATTTTGGGACAAATATATATATATATATATATATATATATATATATATTCTCCCTCATAAACCATTTTTCAATTGTTTTTTTTTTTTACTATATTGCATTCTAAAGAAAAAAGAATTTTAATCTTGTATTTTAAAAATTAGAGGCAATTATAACATACAAAATTACTATTAAAAGATGTGGTGCAGCGAAGGAGACTCATCTTAACCAGATGTAATGACCTTCCAGGTCATTTCTTCCATTTTCCGATCATTTCAGTGTTTAGAGCTTTTCTGTAGCGACCCCCAAGTCATTTATGATTTGTTGGGACTGACAGTTTGGTCTCTTGGTCGTTTGCTTGATTTTGTGCAAGTTTTCTTTGTTTTGGACCTTTTGAAATTTAAATGGTTGATTTCGATCAAAAGTTCATAAAGGTGAGAGTTTGGGCTAGAAGGACCTTTTGTGCAGATCCCGATGCTTCAGGACTCATTACGAGCCATCTTATGGATTTCAACTAAAATGGAGTTTGGGTGTGGGACCCACTTTTTATTGAAACTTTCAACGATTTCTCAGGTTGCGATGGTCTTGGGTATGAAAAAAGTCTTTGGTAGGAAATATTTTTTTCTTAATGAGGCAGCATAAATTAGAAATAATCAAACTCTAATATAGATACTTTAACATGTAAGACATAGTTTATAATTGTAAATTGACATATAGAAATATTACCAAAGGAAAACATATGGAAGAAAATGAACTTATTAGTTTATAAGTTAAAAGGTGATCTCCACCAACATCCTTTTAGTTAGATATTTGAGTAAAGAAAATAACATTTTTTTTGTTTCAACTTTTGATTAATTAGTATATAAAAGTTCATATGTTTGTTTATTTTAATTATTAATATATAGTTAGTAGGTAATATGATAGGAGAATACACCTTACTACTAACTTTTGATTAATTAGTATAAAATTTCATATGTTTGTTTATTTAAATAATGTCCTTATGGCCAAAATGTTCAACTTTATTTAACAAGTAAAATAGTAAATCATGACTTGAAAATTAAGGTGTAATAAATAATAACACTTCTACCAATTACATTAACAAAACCAACCTAACTTGAATATACAAATAAAGAATATGAACATTTTTCTTATATAAAAGGTGGGCAAATATTAGGTATACATAATCATTATTTTATATAAATATCGTTAAAGATTTAGCAACTTATAACGCAATACAATAATATTAACTTAATCATCGTTACATATTTTTGTAACAATAAATATATGATTATTTAAAAGAAAATTTATCATCACTAAATATATATTTTTTCGGTGTTCTTCCCTATGGGAAGTCATAACACTATTCTGATGAATTTTATGTAACAATATTACTTCTAATGATAACTAATATCTTTGTTTACTTATCCAAACACTTAAAAATAAGCAAAACAATATTTTTATCATCCAGAAAAAATTATTTTTTGTAAGAAAAAGAAAAAAGATTTTCATATCAAACACCTTCGGAGAGTCGGAGTCTATCTATTTGGTTAAAACAAATTAGTAGAGTGATCACATGAACAAAATTAACGCCTTCAAAAAAACTGGAATTCGATCTTGGAAATAGGAGAAAAAAGCTCATCATAACCGTGAATTCACCATAAACCCTCCTCCTATATAAAAAAAACAAACAAACATTACAACGAAAATGTATGTCTAACATTATTCTCCTAAATAGGGAACCAAAGATTAGTGAGAATTAATAAATTAGTTAGTAAATAAAGTTGATATATACTACTTACTTACGCCTTTAATAAACATAAAATTATCAACTATATAACTACCCTCATGCAAATCATGAAAATGACATTAGATCTAACTATGATTAGGCTAATTCAACATCCACATTATTATAATTATTAATTTTATTTTTCTTTAATTATAGAGATATAGCATTAAGTGATATATGTTGCTTATTAACAATACATACTTTACCAAGGGAAAATTAAATCACTGATCTTTCAATATCTTTCTGCTACAAAAAATCTTTATTTTCACGCGTTAGAAATCTGAAAGGATCATGTTCGTTCACTTTCGGCTCAAATTATATCTATATATATATGTTTTTTCCGAAATAATTACTTTTATTCATCATATTTATTATTGCGATCAACTATTCTCTTGCCCTTATAAAACTGATGGTACATATTATTAATGATGAGTACTACTTAGTTTATAAAAATGGAAATAAATTAGAAGTAAAGTAAAAAAAAACGCTTGAGAATTTATAAATATACACATGCTAATAAGTATAATTTTTATTTTCAATTTGTAACAGCAATTGACTAGACTTGTTAGCTACTTCATAGACAAATATTGCAATTTGAATTACTCCCTATGTTCCAATTTTTTTTTTTCGAAATTCAAATGATATGAATAATTTTAAGTAATATTTAAATAAGTATTTCTTATCATATAGACATATATAATAAGAATCCCAATTATATGATTTTTGAATAACAATATATATTTAAATTATTAAGTTGATTGTCTAACCAACACTTATTTTTGAATATATACACCTTCCATATATCATCTATATACTTAGACTCATACATCTCTTATACTTTCCACACTTATATTCAAATAAAATTTTTATCTATCGCCTCGAAAATGAAGATCTCCTCGATTTCTCTATTACTCTTATTATTTGTCGCCATCACCACTACCTCCTCCGCCCATAACATCACTCTTATACTCACCAAACATCCTGAATTCTCAACGTTTAATCGCTATTTAACCCTGACTCACTTAGCTTCTGAGATCAATCGGCGCCAAACCATCACCGTTTGCGCGGTGAATAACGCTGCCATGGATGATCTTCTTGATAAACACTTGTCTATTTATACTCTCAAGAATGTTCTCTCTCTACATGTTTTTGCAGATTACTTTGGTTCCAAACAACTTCATAGGATTACTAAGGGAACAACCCTAACTGCCACTCTTTTCCAAGCAACAGGTAAGATTGAAATGACATGTCGTTGGGTCTCGAGTCAAATTTGAACAGGTTAAATTCGAAGAAATATTTGGAATAATAACCACCTTTTAGCCTTAATTTGAAAAATCGAAGTTTTAAATTTCACGAGTGATCACTCATTTGGTCAAAATTGATTAAATCAAGATGGGTCATAAGTCAACCCACCAAATATGATCCCCCTGCACCCACTTTTTTTTATTTTTCTTTACAAGGAAACATGTAAAATTTAAATATTTAAGTTGTTATATATTTACATAATTTTCTATCTCCACCATTTTTGGGTTGTATTTATTATATCGACCCAATAATTTGATAGATCATTTCGAATTCAAAATGTCATGTCAAAGTCAACAAACAAATCATAACTCTAACTTATTAAATCAGAGTTTTTTAAATGAATTAGAAAAAAAAATTATCTAATTTTATTATCTCTAGATTTAATTGAACCTCTTAGAGGCTATAGTTAATGAATATTAACACTAGTGCACTACTAGTTATTCATATATTATTGTTTTTTTTTTCAAATAAAACGATTTCTTTTATGACTATCCAAATTTTGAATTCGTTTCTACAGGTGAGGCTCCTGGAACCTCAGGGTACGTCAATATTACTAACATGAAAGGTAAAAAAGTAGGGTTTGCTACAGAAGACAACGATGGTCATTTCTCATCGAATTTCGTCAAATCGATACAAGAAATCCCTTACAACATCTCCGT